GCTTGTACTTTAATGTCTATGTATTGTGAAGACAGTAGAAGATCTCGATCATGAGTACTAGCTTGTACTTTAATGTCTATGTATTGTGAAGACAGTAGAAGATCTCGATCATGAGTACTAGCTTGTACTTTAATGTCTATGTATTGTGAAGACAGTAGAAGATCTCGATCATGAGTACTAGCTTGTACTTTAATGTCTATGTATTGTGAAGACAGTAGAAGATCTCAACCATGAGTACTAGCTTGTACTTTAATGTCTATGTATTGTGAAGACAGTAGAAGATCTCGATCATGAGTACTAGCTTGTACTTTAATGTCTATGTATTGTGAAGACAGTAGAAGATCTCGATCATGAGTACTAGCTTGTACTTTAATGTCTATGTATTGTGAAGACAGTAGAAGATCTCGATCATGAGTACTAGCTTGTACTTTAATGTCTATGTATTGTGAAGACAGTAGAAGATCTCGATCATGAGTACTAGCTTGTACTTTAATGTCTATGTATTGTGAAGACAGTAGAAGATCTCGATCATGAGTACTAGCTTGTACTTTAATGTCTATGTATTGTGAAGACAGTAGAAGATCTCGATCATGAGTACTAGCTTGTACTTTAATGTCTATGTATTGTGAAGACAGTAGAAGATCTCGATCATGAGTACTAGCTTGTACTTTAATGTCTATAACGATTGATACAATTGTTTGACTTCAAAGTTAAAGCGCTTACGAAAAAAAATAAATGTTTGTCCAGTGAAAGTTTACCACTATAGTCTTGTGGTGTTTTAACCCCTCGGCTAATTGGTCCGAAGCCCCAGCTGTTCTTGGCAACGACCTAAAATTCGGGAAACAACAGAATTGTGTGATTCGTGAGAAAGGTACTGTTGCTACTGTGTACTTATCAACATAGAGTTATGATAACCATTCTCATAACTAACTTTTGAGCACGACTTGATGGTAATGCCAAAAAAGTAAGAAAAGAAGTTGTAATTCTTGGGAGAATTTTGATCATCTTATACTGTCAAGTGCCACCCTCGAAAAATTAAGTTGAAGTTAATTTGTACTGTAATCAAGCGTACCGATCGGCCACATCTAACTCACCACAAATTCATATTCCACGTCAGGTTCCAGTCCAGTTACTTTGATGTAGGCTTTCGTTGTGTTGATAGTGTGATATTTGTCAGCACCGTCTCCTAGTTTGCGATATCGTACAAGGAAGAAAAGGATGCCTTCATAGCCAGTTTTGAGATTCCACGACACATTCACCGAAGTGCTGTCGATTCTTTGGACTGTTACCACGGGCTGGTCAGGAGCTAAAATATAAACAACGACAAATACAAAGGTTTTTTATTTAAACATCCTGACGTGGGAAAATTACTTTCAGTATAAAGACTAATTATAGCTTCACTCAACAGAAGTAAACATAACTGACCTGATTCCAGTGTAGTGACTTCTAACTCGGTAAAACGGGAAGGGATTCCTTCCTTCTCAGCCTTCCCACTGACTCCATTCTTTGCATGTACCTTAAATCTGTATACCGTCCGTGATAGTAAGTTCGTCACAATTGCCTTGGTCTGCGAAAGGTTGCTCTGTCTAGGCAGGAAAAGAACTTGTGATCCACAATCCTGACTGCAGCTTCGTTGGTCTTTCCGACACACAATCTTGCATTCTATCTCATAATGCAAGTCACTTCGACCACCAAGGTGCCGGGGGTGTGACCATTCTAAACTTACTGTTGTTTGATTGGTAAAAAGGCTCCGAAGATGTTTTGGTGCAGAGGGAGGAGCTGTCAGGACATCAAGATACGCAGGCAAGCATGAGTATAACACATAGAGTCGCATAATTGAATAAAATCTGGCATTCTGATTGGTCAACGAAGCGAGGTATTTACCGTGGAATTGCGAGTTGAAAACGAGGCTAAGTAATGTTTTTTTCGCATCTCTATTTTCGAGCTCAGGATAAAAACATGCAACACTATTGTTGTTTTCTTTTCTTCTTATTTTTATTCAATTAAGCGATTTAAGGAAAGTCCATTACCCGACTCGTGAATTCCACGTTAAATTGCACTTGAAAACCAATACCGCACGCATCGCTTCGTGATTCGTGCGATTCGGTTATCGCGTGCAATTTAACGCGGAATTTCCTTGTCAGGTAACAAACTTTACCATGTGATTGCTAATGACAAAACTGGAACTAGTCCGGTGGTGATACTACATTACTGACCTGTACAATTGTCTGAAGCCCTTTCCCGAGGTGCACGAAAGAATTTTCGGGAGCATTTACAGCGTTTCCGAGATCTGTCCGAGTTGCTGTTTGCCGGGCATTTTGAGCATTTGGTGTTTCCGGGCTTTTCTTTAAAATATCCCAATGGACACGCTGTGAGCGAAAATAAAAGACAATTATAACTTGTAACTGACCTCTGAGGATTGAGCCAGCATGCATCCTCATATCCGTGAATTTTCCCCTTCTTGCAGAGAACGTAGGTCTTCACCGGAGCTCACATAGCTAGCAGATTTAAAGCACTGGGTCACAAAGGTGCAGAGTTGCTCCGCCGCGCAAAAGTCACACGAAAACGCCAGGAACGCAGCCTACTAAAAAAACCCAAACTGTCCTGAAAATCTCTCCGTTCTGTAAACGCTAAGCCCAAAGGGCCTTAATTTGCGTTCGTGTTCGCTAAATTCCTTGCGACTCTCATATCTCGCTCACACTATGAACAATGATTTCGGTTAAGTGTAAAAAGTGAGAAGCTTGCTAGTTAGAGAACAGACTGGATACAAAAGGTCCGCGCGTCACGTGGTGTGTTTATCTGCAGCAGCCCATTGTAATGGCTTCACTTGAATATTCAACACGCATAATAACACCCTTCAAGTGTAGACAGACAGAAATTTTCAAGTGTCTTCAAAAGCCACGATAATCTATAAACAGATTCTTCCCATTTTTATTCATGTCGGTTAAACATTCTCCATCGCCAAAGTCGTTCCTATTTCAAAGCCGCGTTGTTTGCCAACATGGCGGCAAACTACGCACTGTTAGTTGAATCATGTTTGACCATTAGAATTGACTACGCATTGTAAAGTTATTTGAAGACAAAGGAATCAATTGTCGTCTAACAATGCTTCTTCATAAGCTTCCAATTTGAAAAGGTATGTTTTTATCTTTAAGATATTTATATTAAAACATTCAGACTTGTCATTCCTAACATTTGTTTGATATTGCTGACTGACGATCACAGATAACATCACACACTGACCACTGATCAGTCATTCTGATCATTCGTTCGTTTACGTTAATGGTAGCTTGACAGACATTTAAAAGCTTCTCAATAGAAACAATGTCCTTTAACGCCCAGAATCAGGTAAAGAAAAACATTTCAGGATCGGAGGGCGTAATTCGTTCAGAAATTTTGAGTCTGACAGACAAATATTGTTTACAATAAAAACAAATAACGAGGTCAGTTTGAGACACCAAGAAAGACACGTCTGTCAAGCCCCGTCAATATAATAAAACTAATGGTATTGCAAGAGGAAGCCATGCTTATACATCCCTATTGTGACTAGTTAAGTAACAATCTTTAGAAATGAATGTAAGAACTTGAGACCCCCGAACAATGAAGCACCCTGTTAAAGAGTATTTGTTTGAGATTTCTACCAAAAGAGTTATTAAGTTTTTATCTCCTTGGAGTGAGGCCTTTTGACTCTTTTACATGCTATGCATAGCAATCATTGCTGTCTAATGTCTGTTCTTTTGTTTAACAACCTTTGGGTGGATTTTTTCATCATAAAATTTCATTACTCTAGCTTTCCATCGATTTTGGAAAGTCACATTACCTATTAAATAAATGTTATGAAAGGGCCTCAAAATCCCAGAAGGGGGGCTTCTCCAAATCACAATAGCAAAAATGCCACCAAAGAGAATTGTAATTGCGGAACAAAAGTTCCAATTCACAGACCACAAATGCTGAAAACCCTTCACTCTAAAGTGATTCATGTACTGTGTATTAGGCTTTTAATATAGTTACATTTTTATAGCATGCTTTAACTCTCTTCCTGCTCTCAAACTTACACCCCCCTTCCTGTACACAGCATTCTTGCACTGCACAGTGCAATATGAGATCTATAATCTGAGCTCCAGTATTGTAATTTGAACACATACCTTGACATTCAGTACCAATTTTCTCCCATCCTGGTAAACAGAGACATTTTCCAGCAGCATCATCACTCTGAGTCCATTCACCACGACTGCTACAGATGGCACTCAACACCAGTGCTGCAGGTTGTGAATTTTCTGCACATTTCCCTCGTATTTTGACTATTTCGGATTCATTCACTGGAGCTATTGTTTGTGGCAGCAATACTAGACTAGTTGGTAAAGTTCTCTCTGGACAAACATTGTATGTAACCACAAATGAATGCACTACAAGGCAAGCTCCTTGGTCATGAATAGCAAAGAATACCTTTGAAGTTCTTTCTTTGATGAAAAGGGACAGCTTTGCAATTCCTTGTACCCTTTTAACCTTGCTTGATGTGTTGCTTGGCATAGATATGACTTTCACTTTGTTGTAAAATCCATTTCTTGGATCAGTGTTTGACTCATTCAAGTTCCCATTTGATTGGTATCCATAAACACCAAATTGTTCAGAGCAGTTAAGTCTCCCACCAAGAAATGAAGTACATCTTCTGATTGTATAGTCGATAGCTAAGTCAATTCTCTTCAGATTATTGTGACCTATACCATCGCTCCAAAGCCAGTTGCTTGGTTGCCAAACATTAACATCACAGACGGTATATACACGTGACCCAGTGTCAGTGGAGGTTTGGGGAGTCCACTGTGAAATATACCAAAACAACCATTTTGGACTTTTAACAAGGTGAAAGAAAAAAATAATAATTATGGGTACCATCAAATTATCCTTGGCTACCTTACACATGACCGGCTTGTTTACATTGACACATCAACCTTAGCCTCAACAGTAATATTTGGGTAGGTTTTTATTTGTAATAATTTATAGTAAAATTCAGTGTTTCATACTTCTAACTAAAGTAGTCAACTTCAACTTGAACTTAACCTCCTCAAAGTTAATATGGGCTATTAAAATATTGAATAAGGAAACACATTGATTGTTGTCACATCACAAAATTGTGTTACCAAAGAACAGCTAAATATACATGTGCCTCATATCAGAATGCTGACAGCCAGCAGTCTCATACAGCTCTGTTTTTGTCCATTACAAAGTCACATGAGCAATATATTCAGGGCTTCTGATAGAACACACATCTTCCAAAGAGTGTAAAAGATGTTTTGTGTCTTTAAAACATAATAAAACAAGCTTAAAATAGCTCAGAAAAAATCACACACTTCGCATAAAAAATTGCCTAATCACCAATTTTTACTGCACAATTTGTTGAAAAAAAAATTGTGCAATTTGCATATTGTATCAGGAGGCCTGTATATTTAATGAATAACATAACTCAGAGAGGCCTTAACTAAGATGCACTATTTGTAAATCTGCTTGGAAATTTGTATATATTGGAAAAGTGCAGTGGATAAAGTTTCGAATTGCTCTTAATATCCTGACCTTTTCTTGATACATTTCAAACCATCTAATATATAACTACCTTGATTCATGAAAGGAGTCTGTGCTTTTTTCTATTTTAACATTTCTCAGATTCCCAAGAACCTATCCCAAGTTAAGTGAGCATGGAGAAAACCTTAGAATTCCTGTACTTCTTAGAAATTGTGAGCTTCAAGGAACTGCACATCCTAAGGATAGATTCTTAGAAATTCCTGGCGTCACTTCGCATAGAACAATGGTGTGGAATACAACACAGAGGAAGATGATTAATAATAATTGCTTGTCAACTTACCCCTGCATGGCCATCTTTGCGAGATGTTTTCCAATACCAGCTGTCTGTACCACCTCCAGGTTTAGGTCTTTCTAGCAAGATGGCTGTTTGAATATGAGTAAATTTAAAAAAGATAATTTTGAGTAATTAAGTTTTAAGTATATGAGATTGGATCATTTTGAAAGTTTGGCAAACCAAAAGGAACATTGGTAATTTAAAAATTTGTAGAATTCAATATCTTTCAACATCCTTGAAAATTTTTCAGAGATGTTGTTTGTTTACATTGAGCATTGGCACATATTTGTGGCTTGTTTGAATATTGGAATTTAAAAAGTAATATCCCCTATTTGATAGAGCATGTCAGCAATGCCAGTCCCAGATAAGACAGAGAACTTTTCATTTGGTGCATCCAATATGCAAGATCTTCTGTTAACATAACTTTGAAGTAGACCTTATTTTGGCCTTCAACCATTCAGTAATGTTGGGATTTTGTATAAAACGAAAAAAAAAAACGTAAATGCAACACCTATGGCTGATCATTCTCATTGAGTTTTTCACGTTTGGAGAAATTTCTTGCCTAATGAAATAATCTCTTGCCTGATCAATAAGTTGTACAAAGCCCTGACTCATGTTTTATCCATGTTGCTATTTGGTAACCTAAATTTTTTTAAATGATTACCAAAAGGAATTTTAGTTTTACCAAAAAAGGGGAAACAAAAAAAATAAAACCAAAACAAAACAGAAAAGTAACAGTTTGCAATCTCATTTTGGGCAAAGAAGCCACACCACTTGTCTGTGAAATTATCAATGTGGGTGCAAATTATTTTTTGTAATTAACTCATCTCAAGGCCTGGATCAATTTGGGAGAATGTAGCAATTTTTCATGAAATAGAACGATGGAATGCAGATTTTGATCTCATTTTGACTAAACACACAAGATCTATAGGCTTAAAACTGTAATACCTCAGGAGAAATACAATTTTTCATATATGAAAATAATGTAACATGGATTTCTACTATTTTTTACTTGACACAACAAGATTACTGGGCTTAAAACTGCAACAACTCAGAAGAAATGCAATTTTTCATATATGAAAATGTGGAGTCATAGATTGCTATAATTTTTTGACTTGACCCACAAGATTACTAGGCTTAAAACTGCAACAAACTGGAAGAATGAGGCAAATTTTTTATGTGTAAAATAAAAATGATGGAACATTTTGAGTTTACACTCAAAATCAGTCTTTATGAACCTAGAACTGCAACAATTTACAAGAAAGGGGCATTTTTCTTAAGATAAAAAGATGGAACACAGATTTCCATCATACTTTAACTTAAGATCTAGAACACTTCATGATAAAAACATTACAACATGCTTGATAACAAGTTGCCAAATAGGCCACTTTTCTAACAAATTAAGACATGAAACCTCTCCTCAACTAGCCATGGTTGTCAGTTTTCAGATTGCAGCACTGTTTTGCATAAAATGACCTAGAGAAATCAAAGGTGCCCAAGAAGAGTTTTTTTTTTTTTTTTTTTTTGATATTCTAACTTATACACAAACCATGGTCTATTGATGAGAAGCATATATCCTACAGAAGTTACGAGCCTCAAATATTTATTTCCAGCCAATGAAGTTAAAAGCTAAATTGGTGTTAAACAGGAAAGAAATGATAACTTCCACTTGATCTTCTATTTTGTGATGTTGAACTATAGCCTTAGCAATCTTGAATTTATCAAAATTTCACTAGGTCTTGCTAATCTACCCACTGCTTCCAATATAAGGAATTTTGGATATTTAATATCATGATCAGTCTTGCCACTGAGAAAAATCTCATAAAATAAGAATTCAAAGAATCTGATCTAGAAGGCCTGCCACACTCGAATTAAATTTATTTAGACTGCTATCAGTGGTGTACAATTTTAATTAATTTTATTCGGGTGGTAATTAAATTACTTTACTCCACTAAAAGTATTTACTTTTAACTAAGACCTAACTTAGAAGCACCGAATTTGATAAAGGAAATAATACTGTTGCGCCCCAAGGCTTAAAAAAGATAATGCTTCCTGACATGTATTTGCATACAATATTGATTTCATTCTCTATTTGCAAAGGGCGCAATTTCCCATTACAAAATTCTTGTCTTTTTTCCACGCACGGATTAATCTGCTACACGCTGCGGTCTTAAAACCCTCCAGAAACATTTTAATCAAACAACGAACGAAGTTAGATCTTAAATGTCAATTCATGTAAACATATTTTGACAACAGCTGTTAAATCCGAAGCTTTCTTTAAGTGTTGTTTACGAAATTGCACTCTTTTCATCAAGCAAAACATTTATGTTTCGATTGCAGCTTGTATGCAAATATCTTCCCGACTTGTCATTGTGACAGACATGTTTCCGTCGCAGTCATCAGTTTCCCAATTACATTTATGATAAAGTGACATTAGAAATGTAAAGAAACGTAGCGTTCCCTTCGAAAATAAAAGGAATCCCTAACACGAGACGCCTTTTTCAGGTTGTGTTCGAAACATTTAGCAGTGAGATCATTAGCAGAATAATCTCAAGCTGCGAGCCATTAACGACATAAAAGGTCTAGTTATGGTTATCATAATTCGGACGGAGACCGATACATTACTTGAATAAAAAGAATTAAAGCAACTTTCGCGTTTCTTTGGCAAGTAGGTTACTGTCAAGAACGTAAGAACACAATTGTGCGATCGGAAGTCGGATTTTAAAGGTGCTAATTGCTGGACAAACACTTGAACATGGAAGGAACACCTTCTCCACTTCGATGGCGAAACGAAGCGGAGTGTCAGGTTTCCAAATTATTTGAATGTTGGGCGTACGCTTTCAAAATAAAGCGGCCACACTTTACAAACAGAGAGTAAAAAAATTCACATAACATAATTTCATTGAGACACGCTATATTCACACACTGAAAGAGAAATTACAAATCAGTTCTACAATAGAGCGCAATCTGTGATAAACAGATGTACAGATCTTCGCGCGCAGCACATGAAATCTCCCTTCCCTTCTTTGAGTTCTGCGTTTAATGGGAACGCTTTTATCCCTTCTTTGCCTAATTCTTTAACTGGGATGATAGCCTCGCCTTATCCATGTTTTTGTAGCTGAAGTAAACAGTAGTAACCACCCATCGGGAAAGAACAACCGCAACGCATCATCGCTGCTTAGATTACGTTTCATAGCAGTCAATATTCCTAAACGCTTAGATGACAGATCTTCTCAGACCTGATTCAAGTCACGCACCCAGCGACAAAGAACTCCTAAGGAGGTCATCCACTGAGCGGTTTATTCATTCATCATCCCGTGAACAACTAAATCCTACTCAAGACACGCACCCCTTGACACAATCCACTAACGAAATATTTCGTCGTCTTTCAAATCGCATAACGGCGATCACATTTGACTCTCCATGATTAAATCTGACAATCAAAATTAAGTTGCCTTACCTCTATCTCCTGCTGATAAACTGTACAGAAATGTAACTAAGTCAAGCACGAAAATCCAACTTCTCCAGACCATGTCCAACCTTCTTCATTTCACTGACACACGACCACAGTTTTTGGACAGATAGCTCGTGCAGCGGCTTTCTTCATTCAAAACGGAAGTAATTTATACGGAAATGACGTAACTGCTAAACATAAACACGAATCACGTTAGCAAATGAAGAGTTTGTACGAAAACTACTTTTTTGCAACCGATGAAAGTAAAGGTGATTAGAATGAGAGTGAATCTACATTTACATATGAAACCTAACCAGATCAATTTTTTTTCATGCTTTATGGGCTGAGCAGTTACGTTCTTCAAAATCAATTACATACACCGTTTTTCATCCATTTATTGTCTCCTCTAGATGTTTAATTGTCTTTAAGATTTCTATGGCCGCGAAAGCATTAAGCAAAATTGGAACACATCAATTATTAAAAAGATAAAGTGAATTGCCTCTGGCAGGTGTATTTTTTATTTTGAAAAGTTTCCTATTATGGCCATGTTGCAAGTGCAAACAACGGCTTGTTCCAGAACTGACGATGTCTGTTGTAAGGTTGCAGAAAGAATATTACTCAGGGTAAATAGCACTCCCTCTGTTAGCGAATTCTACAAGTTTTCTGTGATAAATATGCTCCCTATCGCAATCTTCACACTGGTGGAGAACCTTTAACAGTGGATGAAGCAAGGAATCAAGCAATATTACGGACAAACCGCAAAGAAAGATTACAGTGTTTTGATGAAATATACTGCGCATTTGGGCTTTCATATTTCCGCTAATACATTTTAATCCTCGGTAAACCTTGAAAGCTACCATAAGATTAATATTCGGAGGATTTCGTCGCTCGAGGCTTAAAATTGCATTTGGAGACAGTGGTGACCAAAACATAAATCATAAAGATGACAAAGGGAAATAGCTGCGGTTAACAGTTCCGATGGAAATGGAGATTTATTTTAGATAACAACAACACGCAAAGGTAAAAAAAAAAAATGAAAGAGTTTCAGTTTAAAAGATGTACTGTTTTGGTTCAACAACAATTACCTTTTTGACGCCGACTCTGGAAAAGATAATTAAACTGAGCAAATAAGCAAAGTGCAAAGTTTTCATTGAAATTGAGACAAAAGCAAATAAATTAAAAGTGTGGTTAAACCAAGGTAGATGTGCGCCGTAATAAAAGCCTAAGTGTGAACTGACATTAACTAAGGTAAATGGGTCAACACAAGCCGACTTCAAACTCACTTTTATCTACCACTTTTATGTTCCGATGCTAATGAAAATATCGAATTAGTAACGAAAATCCCAAACACATGCCACTATCTGTGGCATGACTAATTTCCCAAATTGTTCTTTTTTTTTTATTTTCACTTTTAAGCCCCCAAATTTTTCTTTTGTTGCAATTTGGCAAAATGACACTAATAGTCTGTGGTTGGGTCTTACATGTCTAATTTCCTTCTCGTTGTTTTATTTCCTGTCGCAATATAAAATGCTCAGATAATGACTTTAATAGTTTGCTTTGTTAGGATACACGTCTCCTACTTCTCATATACAGAGTGGCAGATTTTATCAATTTCATCTTTTTATGTCACGACCCGTGTTTTTAACTTCTCAAGTAATGATACTATTGAAGCCTTTAAAATGCCCTCGTGGGGGGTGGGTAGGTGGTTGGGGGTTGCAGGAGCCGCCCTCTGCCAACTCGTGGTTTGGAAGATAGCTAGAAAGTTTATATTTTTAGATCACGACTCCACTTAACCCCTTGCAAGGATAATTGCACGTTTGATGAACTCTTTAATTACACACATTGAGGTCTACCAACCAGCAGCCCATAAATTACGGTAGCCTGAACTTCTTGGATAAGGCAGTCTGTCGTAAGATCTTTCTTTTTTTATTCCCACTTCCGACAATTTTAATTTTTCTAATTTTGCAAAAATTGTGAATTAAATCTTCAAACACCACAGGAACAGTATGCACTTTAACACTTTAAACTCTAACATCAGAATGCATATTCTCCATACTGTTCTCTATGCATTTCCTATGGTGCTTACAAGGAATTGGTCTTACAATCAAGAGTTCCTTGACTTTGAGATCATTTTCTTTATTCTCCTGACCTTAATGCTTGATTCAGAGGTGACACTGTTGGGAGAAATCAGATGCTTATTGGTCTTGAAGTTGAAGGCTTAAAATTTGAACCACCTCTTTGTGGAAGAAATAATTTGGATATATCAACAAAGTTGAAATGGTAAATTGGCCACCGTAATGATTACAAAAGCTGACGTTTCGAGCGTTAGCCCTTAGTCGGAGCTTTCAAAACTATCAGCCTTTATTCTTTGTGGAAGACACGCGCAAGTGGTACGTTCAAGATCTTACTGAACTGTTCATGTTAAAACAATTAGAGAAAATTCAGTGCACTTTCCTACCGTCTCAAATTCAACTCGTGTTTTTACCTATCTAGGTAAAAAGAGTTATCTTAAATCATGCGGGGCTCTCAAGCCTCGATTTTCTCTCGTGTACTGAGTGTTTACGACCTCTCTATGATCTACGCTGAGTTTCCACGCTTGCTTCACGTGGTAGTGCTTTCTACCGTTACAAATCGAAATTACCAAATCCAAGTCAATGATGAATAAGTCGGTAATAATTATTTTCTTTTCAATACTTGTCTTTTCTTTTAGTTCGTAAAATAAAGTAGGTAACACAGGAACCCAAAATTTCACAGCCGCTGCGGTGATCTGATAAGTAAATATTCAAGAAACTCCTACGTCCTTCCTCACGAATGCGTGAAAGCCACTTAATTACAAAAAGATTGTTCCACCAACATGTCACTGCATCATGCAGTATTGGTCTCTCTTGATGATTTAAGTGGCACGTTTCCCGAGTAACAGTCGATGGTTTAAACCACAACTAAAGATAACATAGTGCATAATCCTGACACTCTAAATATAATGAAAGTCTCTGTTCTACACTGTTATTCAAGTATGCCTACCTGAAGCCGTATCTTACAAATCATTCCGCGTTTGCCATGTTTCATCAGAAGCATTTGCGCGCTAAGTACTTAGCAAATGAAACTGACATTCAAGATATTATTGCGGAAAATTGTTACCTGACATGTCTATAAAGACATCTGAGAATCGGTGGTTAGAAAGGTCGCGAGGGGGAGAGAGAGGTACCATTGACACAGTAACGTGATGCCAGCGCAAATACCGCCGTTTTTGTAGGACAAATAAGTATCAGTGTAAGTAATCCGAATCAACCATAAAGTGATAAGATCAATTGAACATCGCTTATCAATGATATTGAAGGTGACAAGATTGTAAGTCAACATTCATCGAACTATGCTGAAACACACCGACACAACAATATGGTCCAAATTCAAGACCTTTGTTGGAATGAATCTGTGGATTACAGGATCAGAACCTTTAAATTCAATTTCAAATAATCTAATGTATACAGTTCAATGATTGCTTTCGCTGGAGAATAGATGGCTGAAAGTAGAAACTCAACCGTTTACCCCGCTGCTACAACTCTTACAATTGAGCCTCGCATGCCGCTGTTTCAGATGAGGTAAATTTACCGTTACACGTTGGTAGAGATTTGTTAAAAAAACAAGGTCATCAGTGAGGAAAATAAAATAATCTTGCACTTCATCTGGAAAAGACCAGGTGATATAATTAAGATCAAATGATTACCTCTTATCAGCTTTGATAGTGTGACTTTTGGAATTTAGACCCATGCAAAGATAATATTTTTCAGTCAATGGCGGGCTCTGGTGAATTACCTGCTCCTTATGCTCTCATACATACCAGTTGAATGAATTTGATTTTATCTGATTACCCCCCACTGATACCACATTTGTAACGATCCGGCAGTGTTTGCTTGAGACATTTCTCTTTCCATGAAAAACAAAAGAAAAACTTCGACAGGATTTGTTTTCTTGTCGCACGAGCGAAAGCGCAAATGTTCATCGCAATATATGGGGTCCAGTACATGCTGGTACGGGAAGTGATAACCTCCCTTTTGTAGTATTCGCTATGAGCTTGACTCAGTAGCTACACTCCATCCTTTTAACAGGAAGAGTTTGTGAATAATTATTGGATTGGCAGTTTCATACTGACTACTCACAAATACTCGATACACAGTGACTGGGTAAACAAGAACATGATTAAATTAAATCTGACATTATATTTACCAGTCAGGATATTACGAACTTGTTCGCATTGATTTGTTTTTCTGCGAATCATGATGCATTTCTTAAATAACCCATACTGTACTAATTACGCGAATTCTAGTCTGAAACACGTGACGCGCCACAGCTGAGACCGGATACGCTTACTATGAAATTAGTTTGTAATTGTGTGCATTACCCTTTACCTTTTAAGATCTTGATCTTACTTCTCCCCTCTAACTGCCACACATTTCCTTCTAAAATAGTTACAAGAATTTGGTGTTAGATCGAGGTAACAACTTTGGCCTAAAATGAGATTGAGAATTCTCATTACCTATTTGCTTAATAATGCATGGATATTAGAGGGAGAAGTTCCATGTTAATCACTTCTGGGAGTAAAATGGTTAACGGCCTCATGCTGAGTGTCTTTGTACAAAAAACAAAGAAAGAAAAGTAACTTAGGTTGGCAGCTTAGCTGTAAAAACGCTAAGGCTCTGTAAAGTTGAGCAATATTTATCCGGTTTGGTTTGACATGACACGCCAAATATAGAGCTAGATTCAAGTGAAAAATTAATTATAAGACAGCACGTCACTGAAAAGCAGTCTAAGAAGTTTGCTAAAGAATTGAACAAAAAATTAAAATATCAACTGACTATGTATACACTGCTTTTACGTACTGACTCAGTAGATAAACTTACCGTATTTCAAGTTAGATTTCACAAGCTTCTAGTTCTTTTGTTCTCTTTGAAAACCCAAAAGGCGTTTGTGCTTAATATTAAAAGTTTCCAAGGTCAGAGTTACAGCTGCCATGAAACCGCATCCTCCGCCCAATCAACGAGAGGTCCAGACACCGCATTTGAGGTTTTGCATTTCGTTCATTTTTTCTTTGAGGATTATGGTGTCATCGCCGGGTTTACAGGGTTGTGTGACACTGAAGCGTGCGTCAAACAAGGGTATCAAGTGGAATTTTACTATTTCGGGTATAACTCTATTCACTTCAACATGAAACTTTTAATAATACAGAGTCCTTGACTCGGATTGATTGTA